AAATGCTTCTTTGACTCGTCCTGAATATAAAATAATTCATTTTAAACTTGAAGAATATGAAAAGGGTGGTAATATTAAGCACTGCACATTCAGATAAACAAATTAGAATTATCATTGGAGGGAATATTTTCAACAACTGTGAAGCTTGTATTTGTGAGATGGAATGTGAATTATTCATTGATTTGTCAGTGAAAAAAACTATTGATTTTGTAAAACGTTGTCTTTTTTGTATCAGTGGAACAACTTGAGTCATCTAAGTCTAATAAACATAAGCACTATCGAAACGATAAGTAGTACGACGAATAAAGAATGTAAAGTTAAAAGCGTATGAGAACTTCAAGATCATAACATTTTGAAGATTTTGAATTTCTTTGTTATCATGAATCCATCAATTACAGATCAACGTTGGGATTATAGAATTTGTAGAAGTAATATCGCACTTATGTGAGAGTACTGAAAAGTGAACACCAAACTCCTTTCGAATAGAAGCCGAACTTAAAAGCGTCAGTCTTGTCCGTGGACACAGAGTGTAAACCAAAAAGCTAATTAAATAAAAGTTTTATGGTCTAAATTAAATCATCGCACAATTTTACGCGACCAGCAACTTCAGTTTCATCAGGTATGAGGTATACCCATCAGAAAATCCCAAAAGATTTTCAAAAATTTCATTACGAAGCTAGTTATTAGTGTGCACTTAATAACTGCCAGTATTCGGCTGTGTAGATAGTTCAGTTTCATTCGAATAAATAATTTATCAATGAAAAAAATCATTATGCCTGGGAATGAGAGAAATAAAAGGTCAATATAGAAGAAACAATTATCTCATCATTTATTATAACATGCAGACATATATATATTGTTAATTCATTCTCAACCAGCGGTGCTTCGCCTCAATGCAACATTCGTAACTCGCGACAACTATGGTATTTTCCATTACAGTGTATGAAAAATTGTCTTTAATTTTGTGTGAAAAACTTGAACTTTTTCTCAATCCTTCCTTCCTTGTGGGAAGGTAACAACGATGTAGAATCTGATTGTCCAAGGGAGACACCTAACCGCCGTCAAACCTCCGTTCTCTGTTCTCTGACTGTTCTCCACTTGACCTCCTCGACAATTTAGTTCAGTCGAGTAATCAAGACCAGAAAACTGAACGACTACGTCAGGGCAACAACTAAGGTCCTCCTCAGCCAAGTCTACCATTTTTAAGGGCGCATGTTCATGAGATAGATTTGCAACATGACTGTTGAATACCGCTTTCAGGAGAGGCCCTAGAAGTAAACCCGTAAACTGTTCAGTTGCTTCTGGGGATGGTCTGCAGGTAATTGGAGGGATGTAGCAGTTATTAAACGATCTGCGGATCACAGAATGCGTGGTTGTTGTGACAATATATTGCCTAGTTCCACATTCGCGCTGTGGACCGGTTTCAGTCCTCTTTACATCAAAATAAATGCTAGGGACCTATTATTTGTTAACGTCTAATTCAGTAGTGTTCAATAAACGAAAAAGGAATGTTGTAGCAAGTCCGCTGGTGTACCCTCACCTGTTGACATGACTAATGCCATTTCGAGAAAATATTTCAGTGATGAGCAGCATCGTCTTTGCTGCCGTGAGTAGCATTGCAGGGTCGATTTCCTGACATTTTGAAAATGCGTCGTTCACAACAAAATACACAGTTACAGTCACAGAACACATGGCGTTGACTGGTCCCATGAGCTACGAATGATCATGTAGTAGTCAAAAAACTGGTGAAAATTTAGCATGCACCCCGGCCGCTTGCTGACACAGCATGCATTTTTCAAAGAAAATCAAAGAAAACTGTCTTCAGTCTAGCATATATGTAAATATATAAATAAGTATATAGACTGATAAGATTCATGTGAATTCAATTTATGTATACAACATGATGCATTGTTGAGTAACGAAATCTTTTTGACGGGTCGGGACGTGAAATGTCACCCGTTGCCGTTCAATTTTTTCTGTTATTTTATAACTATCTAGAACCGCACATGACAGATTGATTCTGGATGTATAGTTTGTAGGCAGGATCAGTATTATTTTCTTGAATTCACACATCATGTTTTTGAAATCATCGTTATCCACGTAAACTAAACTGACTTCTTTCATATTTTTAAATTCTACATTGATGATCTCTTGATCTCATATATCATATTAGATAGGATTAGAACAAGTAACGTCCGAAGAAGCTGCACAGGTGAGCTTATGATTTCAATGAAACCGAAAAATCTCCGCATCCTCATACTGTTCTTACTTTTATGAAGAGAACGTGACTGATTCAACATTATGACTAATTGTGCCAGTAAATGTATCACTGTTTGCTTACTTGTACGTTGTAAGCCTGAACTTGCTTTTTGCGTCGCCTTTATTTCGTTTATGTTGCCGCTCCTTATCTCCAAACATATTTCCTTATTCTTCTGACATCAAACAATCGTCAGCAAACAAAGTCGCTTCTATGAAAAAAAACATTTCTAATATGACCTAGAATAACGAAAATATTACGCTTAAGGACAGGAATGTAAAAAGTATTTAGTGGTGTTCTTATTCAATCGTCACTTAAGTCAAGACAATCTTCACCCTCAGTAGTGACTGGTTTGTAAATTGGTTGTTCTTTAGCCAAATATCCTCGTGCAAGTTTCGAATCTGAACATGCAGCGTTACCTAAAATTAAGTTTATCCTCCTTTCCAAATAAAAGTGATACTTAAAACAAATCAGGTTTGTCATATCTATGTTGATAAATGCCCTTTTGCAACCAAACTTTTGAAACAGATGTTAACAAATGCAGTACATGAGAAAATTGTTTGTTTTACATTCAGCCTGTTAACTAAATTTCTTTTCTACCTCAAAAGAATTTTGGTGAATTATATGCTTTTTTTGTCTCATTTTCACTAAAAAGTAGATGCGCATTACTGCATAATAATGTAGTTAGACGATAATAATGAAGTCAGACGATCGCCTGGTGACATCGCTAGATGCAACTTTCTCGTAAACAACTCATCCGCTATTAAGAAGCCGATTCATCCAAATCCTCTTTCCACATTCATGTTATTCAAATCTCCATTATCTGTATAAACAATGAATACTCAGTGTTACTTGTTGTTATCATACAGCGAATATTTGAGGCATTAGAGCAGCAACAGGATGGAGATGCCCTGTATTGTATTGATGAAAAACGAATGCTGAATCATATGTTGATGACATGCCCTACTGTCGTTGGAAGATAATTAATTGCTAGAAGCTTACAAATCTATTCTCTGATATATAGGCAGTATTATATCGTTTTCTGTTCAACATCTCAAATATGATCTTCTAAAACACTTTCGTTTCGACTTTTCATAATACGTAATTAATAATGAGAATGATCGACAAAATACCAAAAAGCTAAATTAGGTATAAATTTGATTAACATCAGTAACGTACAATTGGGCAGTTTTAGATAGTGTGCGACTTGAATCATATCAGCAAAGACGCCGGAGATAAGACGTATTTATTGACGTTTCAGGATAAATAGAGATCCAGTTCTGAAAATTCTGAGAGTTTCAGGTGGTGATGCACTTAACCAGAGAATTATTCACTAAACAAGTTGACGTATCCGGTAACAAATGGATAATTTTACCCCAATAGAAAAGACCAGGTACATGCTAGGCAAACCAAAGACGAAAGGTTGTTGCGCTAGTGAGTTAATAGTAAAATATGACAAGAGGTTACCTAAACTTGGTAATATCAGCCGTTTTAACATCAAAATGCTGATCGGCAAACAGGTTTGTGTTTAGTTTGTGTCCTTAAAGTCAAGAATAATTTGAGAAGACTGCTAAAAAATATCATGCATGGTACACATTCGGAAATCGAACAACTATTCGTGTAAAACCAAAATATCATCCTATCTTTAAGATCACTTGTTTGTTGTATGTAGTTCTATATTCATCCAAGCACCAAAACAAGGTATGCAATGGGTAATTAAAGAGTTGTGTGACTATTTTGACTTAAAGAGCACATACCACAGCGTTACTGTAATTTGATAGTATGATTTGCAGCCTTTATAAAGTATCTACGTTTGATATCAGAAGTTACTCATTCATAGGTGCACTGTTGACAAACTCTATCTTATTACTTAAATGATTTTGAAATTGAATATAGAAACATTATCGTGATACAAAGCAATCAAGGTGAGAATCATTAACCCGGTTTTGTGAAATGAGATCAGCCTGGAATTAGGAAATGTAGGAATGGAAGTTCGTCAAACTTAACATTTGATGATTGACGGATATATTTAGTCAAGTAAGCAATCGACCTTTGATTCAATCCTATTATCATTCATAACCCATATAATTGGTTCGTGCTTGTTCGATTAATTGTAAAGACCTGTTCACTAGAATTCGGTTAGACCGTTTTAACTTATTTTTGCGTTAATCATTTACGTGACCGACAGTTCACACGTGAACAAATCACATATTCCTTCATAAAGCAACTAGAATCACTGAGATTCATGCAAGTCACGTATACCTATACAATTGTCAGGACAGATCCTCGCGATTTTATTTTTTCGTTGTGCACTCTCCAACTGATGTAAAGTGATGAATTATTCTATCTATCTATTGACAGTCCCGCAGTATTCTCCAGAAGCCTGAGATCTGAAATTTTTACAGTTTGTTACCACAAGTAATTGGCGCAACAATCCGATGATCGACAAAAGAAGCAGTTGGATACAGAATTCAAGTAACTCGTTCCGGTGTTAGTGTCAATTCGACAGTCTAATCATAATAGATCAGATATAAACAGTGACAAATCAATCAATAACACTTTCTCATTCAGCAATGTATTTTATGCATAGCAATCAACTTATGATCATTGTCATTAACTGCTTTGATTGAAAGATAATGTACAACAACAACAATGAAAGAAAAATATAACGTGAAAATGTGAAATCATCAACATGATCATATATTCCACTGAAAGTACAAAATTCATATATTCTACGGAGAAATCTTTCAGTTTCATGCATTTTTTCAAATAGTATGTTGTCAATGCAATCGCCTGTAATTGTTAAAACAGTATTCTTTAGTCTGACAATAAATAAAGTAACTGTAGATGTTATGTTTATATGAAAATTTAAAAAAATGTTCACTGATAGAGTGAGTGTGTAGTGTCCAACACATTACTTGAAAATGTTCAGTCGGTGGTTTGTTTGCTTATTTAATCAATCACACAAACTGAGAAAACGTCCAATTTATTGACGAAAAAACAAACTACGTTTCTGTAACTTTTCACAAATCAATATCTAACATTCACACAGTACAGTCATGGTGTTGCAACAACCGGTTTCACACTGAAAAATCTATTATGAATGACTATTTCAAGTGATTGTAAGTTAATGTTTCAGTATAGAAGCACGATATTCAACAATGCACTATGTTCGGGGAGAATAATGTATATTTTTTATGAAGAAATGGAAATACAATCTTTTATCAGAAACTCACGATAAACATTGCACCGCATCAACAGATCGCCGTCAGTATTGGAAGCACAATCTAGAACAAATTTTCACATGAAATGAATTTGTGAATATTGAAATTTTATTACTAAAATTTTATTCAATAGTAGATATAATAACTGATGTGAGCATGTTATATATGCTTTGTGTTAAATCACAGTTTATTTAGTTTTTGGTGTTTAGAATATGGTTGGTATGCAACTGTACATGTTGTTGATGATAATTAGTTTAATACCGATTAGGCGTGCCTCTTTTCCTTAAACAGTACTTTTCCGTCTGTTTACTGTGGACGAGATGTGTGCATTCGAATAAACTGATAAAATGAAAGCAGAGCCAGTGCAGATTTACTATAATCGCTAGATTTTCAATAAATAAATCAGAGACTTCTGTCCCAAAGTTTGTATCTAGCATTTCTTAAAATAAAGTTATATGCACCATAAACTGAAAACAATGTTTTCAAAATAGTTATCGTGCTGTACATTACTTAAATGGTTAGTTATTAGGTGACATCAATTATTAAAGCAAGAAATGAAATCAGTTATCATTTTTAATACACTGACGTTGATACTTCAAGGTCAACCTTATAGGTTTCCACAATCTTGCAAATTATGCCGAAAATGCTGAGGACTATTCCAGCCATCAATAGTACGAAGAAAATTGTAAAAAAAATTATCCCCCATTTGACCGGTTAACTTCTATTTACTTAACTCAAAAGAATGGCACTTATTAGTGTCAAGACTGGCACAATTGAAGCGACGATCTGCTCATACCAAATTTCAAAGGCAGTCAATAATCCAACACCGATGACCACCATAATCAACTGGAAAATTAATAAAAAACATGTCAGATTATGATAAGTGCATTATTGAACATATTAGCCATGATAAATTAATGATAAATAACTGGTCAAGCCTTTTTCTCACATTCACAGTTTGTGTATCGAAAAGTGTTTCAGGCGCTCGTCATCTTCTTCATTTTCATCTAGTTAAGTGCTTCTTTGCGGTTTTTTTCGCAACTGCAATGCAAACGGTAATTCTAAATAGCTTCATTGAATCTGTTGATGCAGGTTCCCATGATGTGTGCCTAATCTCCACTCTATTTTCAGAGACGGAAGTGTATATTACTGCCTATCAGAATGAATCCTGACCAACACACAGTCTCAATGGAATTTCGGAAAACTCACTGGGAATACAAACAACATCACAAACATCAGTTAAATGTATGTTTAACCAACCGTCATAAACATGATGATGGTATTCCTTGTAGATGCGGTATGCAATGCTTTGATGAGTCCTATAATGAGTGCCAATACTAAAGTGATACCTATGAATCATGGAAATAAATTGAACAACAAAATGAAGTGTAGCAAACACTAAGTACAGCACGAGTTAACAGCAGTTTCCCTGAAACGGCAGCAATTTAGATGAGCAATATATTCGAGTGCATGTTTGCGAAATAAATTCGAGTCGGTAAACAATTGTCTTGATTATTGTATGTTAGTAACCTATAAAATGAAGCACTTCCTACTGAGATGCCTCCACTCTAAATTCATTTAGTAACATTTTGATCGAACTGATAATCACAATTGATTTTCTTGTTCAATGGATGATCAATAATAATATATGAAATAATATTTTTGAAGCTATTTACGTTTCATGACTTACATTAAATGAAACCAGATTTGCAAATGATATATCCCATGAAAATTTGTTGAATCTCTCAGGCGCAAAAATGAATTTCCAATGAAGGTCAATTACACACATGCACGAATTTGTACTGTCGAAGATTGTATTGTTTTTTGTTTTTGATGTTTCGCCGAATCCCCATGTTACCATGCTTAAAATATTTTGTTTGGATAAAATCAACAACTTCATCTTCAAGTGAATCAGATGAAATGTTAGATATCAATAAACAGAATAAGGAAATTTATGAATTACTTGAAAATATAAATGCTAATTTCTTCGTTTATTTTTTACAATTTCAGTGGAATATTAACTGTTATGCATTCACGAAAATGTCTTAGATTCAGTTAAAGTAGTTTGATATTGATATTTGCTTTTATCTTTGTAAGCAGGTGGGAATCGGCGATGGATCACAATTATAATTCAATGTCTGTTTATCTACTCAAAAATCTTTTTCTCCGATAATATGTCTGCTTATCTGCTGATCGATGCAAATCAGTGTATTGACAGAAAAATTAAAGATTGAGTGATATCATGTTGTGAAAAGTAACAAACTCACATCACACTTATCCAGTGGTTAATTAACACAATTGAATACACAATTCGATATACACAATACAAGCGCATACACCAGTTACTTCACAACGTATATTGATTGTTAATTTAATAAGTTATTACTAAACTTTGGACCAAATAGTTAACAAAAACTGTAATTTATAAAAACAGATTCTGTATTTCAATTGAAATACTCGGTAATGATAATCAATCAAAAAGTAATAATACTATTAATTGGGAAGAATGAATTAAGTACTGATTATGTGAGTGTCATTTATTGAATTAAAGAATGTAGACACTACATGAAACATAATTTCGTTATTACATTGTTTATTTAGTTATTTGAAAGGTGCTTATTGTGAGTTTCTATATACCGTAAAAATAAACATTTGCATATTTGTGTGTTATGTAACGCAGTTACCGATGAATTCTGATGTTCAGTTTTTGATCACTGGACAGTATTCTGAACTATGTACTTATAATGTTGTGGAAATCGATGTTTGATTACTTGCTACTGGATGATAGTTTGGATGTCGTATCACTGTGTCTCAATGGAAGCGCCTTCATCATTGAAATATTCAAGCTGCATATTGATAAATATTGATGCAATATTTTAGGTTGCTGGAGACATAGTTTGGTGGCTCTAGAGATATAAAGGATTTTCAGCGTAGATTGTCGTTAAATCACGCAGTTAGATATGAGATCGAAAAGAACACCAGCAAAGTGAAGTTAATTGAATAAGGCGAATGTGCTAACAGTCCTGCACTTAAGTATGGCTTAGTTCGTTTTGTCTGGATATAATAGGATTGCGTTGCCCTAAGCCTGTAAGCACGCATACATATGCACATCGAGGTGCAGTTTATGAAGTCGTAATCAGCGATGATTTTGTATGACGAAGTTTACTATTATACATAGCGAACGTGAAACCTGTGATACTGTGAATAAACAATCTGTATTCATATATATGCGCAAAATAATCTCGAAAAATTCGTTTTTAATTCTGCATCGCGAATGCTCACATTGTTCATTATTATTCAAACTTGTTATGTCCTATTATTTTCCAGTTGAAAACGAAGACCGTTCACTAAAAACGTCTAACATGTCTTCAACTATAATTGATGGTCGGGAAGATAGACAATGCAAGAAATTTCATTGAACAGTTGTGATTCCTTTTAATATATAGGTTATTTGAAACATTGTGGATTATAATTATCTAAACGAAGATTACTTTAGAGAAAATTGAAAACCACAATAAAAGCATTTTAAGACGTATATTTGTAGACTCAAATGATCGCCATTTCTCCAGCGATCGTTATGTTTAAGTTAGGTTTGTCATACTTTCATACTTTCCTACTTTCTTCAATTGATTTATGTTTTTATTGGGAACATTCAGCGTTATAATCAATCGCATCAGTGAATGTCGTACTGTTGTTACTGATGACTCTTACTTTGTAAGTGCGAAAGTTCGGTTCGTGTTGCTGTCATTTCGGTTTTACTGCTCGTTGTAAGTTCTAACTTTTCATCCTTCTACGGTATCGATATTCTTTATTCATGAATAACGGAGTATAACGCTTATGGCTAGGAACGAAAGTTTTCGTAGTATTATACACTATGTGACTTGGAAACTTCATTCGAACGCCCTGGAATAATCAAGTAACCAATGCAGTTTTCAGAAACTTTTACTGTGTAAATGTTAATGATCAAGTGATACACTCCTGAGTCTTCTCCAATTGAAATGATTAGGTCATGCGTTATATATATTTTCACCTGCATCGTAGTGTTCAGCTAATTTGAAAGAAACCTGTGGACAGTCATATCAAAGCCTAGCACACATACATGAATTCATTAACAAAAGGAATCGGTCCTGATGGTAAATGTGGAATGCATGGCCTTTGTCTTCCCTCATAACCTCCAGAGTTCTACTTTTTTTCAGCTACTCTTAGATTCGTTTCATTGAATAATAATAATTGCTTCGAATGGTATTCTATCCGTTATCGCCATTAATACTACTTTGGATTTTAATTGACAGCATTATCTGCAAATAATAATGTTGTATTTCGATTGAAATGGATTTTCGTAGATGCGAATTTCTACGTTGCAGCTGAATGCGAACGTATGGAAATCAAATGACTTGACTTGAAATTTGTACGAAATAATCAATGTATCGCATTTTTCCTGAATTGTTTCTCTCAGATTCTGATCGCATCATATTTTTAAATTTATTTTTTATTCTTTACCACATTGACTTCAACCAATGTATTTATTCAACCAGTGCAACAAATGATCTTTTATTTGATTATACACTGCGTTTGATGAAATGTTTTAGGCTTTATATCTGTTCGGATCATCTAGACTTAGCAAACGCAACAACAAACGTCAGAAGAGACAAACAGTCAAGTAGCAGCTTGAGCAGCAGTAGCTCTCAGCATACACAACCAGAAAACCAAGATTCTTTGATGCAACACAAGATGCAACAAACAGACAATTCGTAACCGAGAAGCTTTAAAAAAAGTTATATCATTGTCATATTTGTTCGGAAACAATAAAGAGCACTGTTCATCTGATGCTGTAGTGCAGGCAAGTATTGACAAAGCAAAGGCTGCATTTCTACAACTAAAAAAACATGTTTTTACAAATCAAGGATCTCACAAAGTCAACAAACAGAATAAACGAGTATATTTTTAAGTTTCCTTTGCAAAATACTTCGGTCAGAAACTAAAGGCAACAACCCATTGTGAGAGAGAACAAACCAGATTCAGTCGGAGAATATATAGGAAGAAGCTCTTCAATTTGATCAGGAAAAAAAACTGAAAAACATCAAACTATGTCACAAGATAAGCTTCCACTAGTAACAGTCAATCGAAAGGGAAGGAGGAAGACCAAGAAACACATAACGCTGCGAATTTGTACTTGACCTGAGTAGAATGAATAAAATCTGTTGGAAATGGAAGTAGTAAACCATGATAGGTTTAACAATGCTGTTTGGCTGGACTATACTCTGTTTTCGATAACAGTTATCAGTACATAATGTACGATGATCCATGATCTTCTTCAACATATTATATTCATTTGCATCACTCTTTGTGTGACAACAATCTCGGCACTCAACCATGATGTATTTTTTCCTGTTACAGTTATGTGAACTTCATGATCATTTTCATTTTCAAGTATCATATGTTGTGAGTGGGTAGCGGGAACGCCACATATTCGAATGATTACATGTAATCCTACTTTATTATTTCATCTCGTTTTCATCTCGTGTTTTATTTTAGTTGCGAGAAAACATAACTAGGAAATTACTTCTGCAATTCTATTGAATTTGCGCTTACTCTAGAATATTTATAAGCTTTTGATCGATAATTATTCATACTATATAAATATCCACATTCAATATTCTTTAAACTCGTCATCTTGGATGAAATTTCCATCAATAATAAATGAAGAATATAAACTGATTTGGTATTGTATTCTACTACTACTCTAGTGTGATGTCAGTAGATTAAAATAAAATATGAAATACAATGAATACTCAAGGTTGTAATTTGTGCTTCAGTAACGTTATAATGAACTGATATTGACATGTTTTGTCGCAAGGTTATTTCAGTGTATGAAACTGAATGTATTTCAAGAACCTCGTACAAATTTCACAGACTGAAGCACTTGAAAAAGATTACATCATTAATTGAAATTCCATAGAGAAAAACATTGTAAAACCTTATAATTCCGAGAAATTTAAATGTTGCCTTACAATATTTTTACAATTGTCATTTACTCATTATATAATTTTAAACTATCACAGTTATAAATATTTAGACATTCAGACGTGTTATTCAAATTAATATGAAATAAACAAAGATAATTATTATCGTCTGTGTATTTCAAGTATAGATCACACGGTTTGATTTAGATTTTTATCATATTTTAAAACCAAAGCAAACAACAATATCACTACTGAGTTTCTGTGTTTGTCTCTGAACTGCAACTTGTTTTTAGGCTGATATTTGGTGACGCGAAACGCCATACTGATTTGATCCACTATTCATAAGATTGAATTTTTTGACTAAAATTGTGCATCTTGATTGTGAACTGAAGCATTCTTGTAGAATAAGTAACACTTCATTTAATTAAGCAACTAAATATTATCTGTCGAACTAATGAAATGTCTCCAGGAGGAAAAGAATATCAGTTATCTGTTGCTGTTGATTTGATTATTTGAACAATTGTTGAAAGAAAGAAGAAGCCACAATGTTCTTTAGTTATGGTTGTACATCTGGAATTTTGAACCGTTATTCATGTAATCATGTTTTCTGATTTCAACTGATCTACCTAGACAATTATTTCTCATTCTTATTCTCATCTAAGATCCTAGAGTAGGTGCTTTTAGCATACTTTCAATGAACTACGTCTGGATCCCTTCCAGGCTTACTACTGTTATAAAGTCCGTGAAAATGTGTATGTTTCGACGTTCATTTGGCTACTGGATCGCGTTGACAACGAACTTGCTGAAAAGGCTGGCCAGCTTTATTTGAAAGAAATGTAAATTTGTATTCTACTTAATAATATAAACAAGTTTTTTCAAGTTATATTCATTGCTCTTCTATCACACAACTAACAACAAATGTAGAAGTTCGTTATTGTATTAACTGACAAAGCAGCAGCTGCTCTCAACCTACT